GGCCCAGCACTCTGCAGCCCTTATCAAAAATTACACTACAATTAGCTTAAAAACTTGAAAACTTAAAAACTTCGTATATTACAGTAATCGGTAAAAAAATGTATAATGTTAATAAATACATAGGTTTAATGAAACAAAGTAGTTGTATTTAGGTGCCTGTGCTTAATTTGTGTTTTCAATGATTTACCTTCTAAAAAAATCTCGCCTGTCTTGTACCCCCAGAAAGGGCATCTCGGACCTCCAGGGGGGCACGTACCACAGGTTAAGAACCACTGTACTAAACTGATAAGATCTGCATTTTAATTTAATTTTAAATGAAGCCTCTTAAACATTTTAAAAACCTTGTTTACTTCACATACAATAGTTTAGTTATATAATATACTATATAGAGAGAGACCTTCTAAAAATGTTAGAATGTATGACTGGCACACGAAACCTTAAATTAGAGTGAATAAATGAAGATTCGGCACACCATTTCTGAAAGGTTGCCGACCCCTGGTCTATGCACACACTGCGTTGCCCTAACTACACCAACATAAGCCCTACGCCTCTCGTGGGGGTGGAGTTATGATGTCAGTGTAGTAGGGCACTTACATGGGTGGAAGCAAGGCTGTAGTGAAGACACTGACATAATTAGGTCAATGTAAGCTACTTTACATTGACCTAACTCTCTAGTGTAGACCAAGCTTATGAAGTCTGCAGTGAGTGACTAAATGTGCTTGTCATGTGGTCCCTGACTCTGTCTTCCACTCGACATGCTGAGAACTGTGAGTCAATGTGGCGAATGAAGGAGATAGCTGTACTGTGTTTAAAATGTCATATTTACCTCAGTTTAATTGCTTGACGCTATTCTGCCCATCTGCATGGAGTTAAATCAAAGGAGGATGTTAGGGGTAAACAAACAGGAAATGAAATAATGAGATAAAATACAAAGTATCATGTATCCTTAGGAAAACAAGGGGGGAAATATCTACCTGCCTGTTTGTAGCCAGGTTAAGAGGCTTATTTTTCCAAGGTCACAGCCTAAGATCAAAGGGACACTAAGCAGTTTAAGGCTCCTGCTTAGAGAGGAAGGAGTGGGGAATTGGCAGCAGCTGTTGGAGGTGAGTCTCTGACAGAGGGTTCATCTTCACTGCACAGTTAATCTGGGTTCTTTCCCAGGTATTGGCAAAAGCCCACCTACCATCCACACAGACAAACCTCTGACCCAGCCTAGGAAGTGCTTTAAGACCAAGCTAGTTTACCAAGATGGGAGTGAGGGTTAGAACCCAGTCTCCGTCTTAACTCAGGCTGTAAGCTATCCATTTTGCAATGAGGTTGCGGGCAAAATCTCTTGAGTGCTGATAGTGCTCCCATGCCATCCCATGATTTCCACTGACGGACAGATAAGTTCTCCCACAACTGACCTGGAAAATATCCTAAAGTATCTGAGCACAAAGAACAACAGGAAATGCTCCCAGATGCACTTGGGTGAGTGCGGAAACAGAGAGGACACAGTAACCTGGGTAGAGCTTTGCAGCGGGGATGCTCTCACCTGGGCTCGGCTAACCTAGGTGCTCAGACCCGGTTGCCAATCACCCAGGTTGACAAAGCAGTTTAGACACACCATAACGAAAGAATGTGGCAGAGCAGTGTGTCTTTCCCAGCCCAAAAGTAAGGGGTCTGGGCTGAATGGAATTTATCAGAAACTTACAAGGAAGGGATAAAGTGTAGGTGAGAACCTATGAGCATAAACATTTGTTGTTTTGACTATTTCTCTGCTTTTTATATATCTCTGGGTGAATAAACAATACGTTTGTTTTGAAGTTGTTTTGGGATCATGTCAACCCCAGTGGGTCACAGGCTCCCAGAGAGAAGTTTTCTTGCAGATTTCAAATACCTTTGGGCCTGTTGTGTTACAGTGGGGCTGCAACCCACAGATCCAGTCCAAATGTGGTTGAGCTGTGGGGTTTTTTTCCCTGAGAGAGATGCAGGAAGAGATGCCTGTGGGGTGCATTCAAGAGGGGCTGCAAAGGGGTCTAAAACACAGCTTGCCTTGTAACCATGGCAGTCAGACACAAATTTAAAAAAATATTTGGAAGAAGTAAATTGAAGCCTGACAACAGTCATATAAAAACTTCAAGTAGCTTCACTTTTAGGTCTGTTTGTTGACAAATAATGTACCTTTTTGTTGGCATTAACCCAATCTCTTCCAGGTCACTCCTTTGTAATTAAGTGTAAGTGCCAAGGTAAATTGGGTGAAGAGAATTCTGCAGTGCAATATTGGCAAACAAAATAGGAGGACGCAGCTGAGAAAAATGAATGAAACTGGCTTTTGTTGGAGTCAAAGCTTCGGTGGTAATTACAGGAGCATGTATAACTGACTGCACCAAAAAGAGCTAGTAACCTCTAATTCTGCAGAAAACAACAATCTAGTTCTATTATTGTTTTCAGTAAAATTAAAGGTTTAGGGCTTGTAAGAGATGACTAAATTAGACCTTATCAAAACCCTTTTAAAGAAATTCTCAGCCTTAGACTGCAATTACTCCAGGAAGGCATGCAAGAGCCCCGGTTTGTGTTGAAACATCAGAAGTGAATGTCAAGGGTAAACAAGCTCAAGCTGTCTCTCTGTTTGTGTGTCCATCCTGCTGCTTTGCTACACCACACCATCTCTTAAAGAAATGCAGCGAGAAGATAACAAAGGAGAGAGGTAGTGGTTGCAGCTGTATTTTTTGGTACTTTTAAAATTGTTTTTCTATGGAAACAGAAGATTCCTTCTAAGTCTGTGGCCATTTCTTTAGCAGAACTGAGCCATTGGGTCCAATTCTCATTTACACTAAGCCAGTGAACTGTGGATGTAAAAGGCTACTAGTATGCTAGAGAGGAAAGATGGTCTGGCTAATAGTTAGGGTGCTAGCCTAGGATGTGGCAGACCTGGATTCAAGCTCCTGCACTGCCAGAGGTTTTCTGTGTGACCTCGGACAAGTTGTTTAGCATTTCTGTGCCTCCGTTTCCTCAACTGCAAAATGGGGTAAACAGCACTTCCTTGCCTCACAGGGTGTTGTGAAGTGCTTACTATGGTAATGGGGTGTATCTGCACATATAAGTGCCTTATGTAGATTCATACCCATTTTGTACTGGTGTCAATGACTGTGCTAGGTGTGGGGCAGCAATGATGCAGACCAATTTTCCCATATGAGTCCCTTCATAATGTCCTAATCCTACACTGGCATGCTATAATTAGCAGTACAGTTTAGATGACCACTCTGGAAAGCTGCACCAGGCGTGCGAGTGGCAGTGTGAATGTGTGAATTCATAGTCACAGCTGCCTGATCCCGAGAGGTGCTGAGCACCCACAACACCCAATATAATCATTTAGGCCCAGATCATGAACAACATTTCGGCTCCTAACTCCCATGTGGGCCTTCCGTTAGTTCTCACTGGTGGGACAGAAAGTAGGCAGAGCAGGGAGAGAAATTTCCCATCAGTACAGTCATTGGGACTAGCTGAAGTTGCAGACTGGCATCAGTTTCCATCCATCTTGCCTTGTTTTTCTTTCTCTGGCACACGCTCTCTAGTAAACCTACCTGGCCTGCAAGTTAATTCCCCAAGCTCTGATCAGGCCATTGGTCCGTCTTCCTGAGGGATCTTTGTAACTATGAACGGACAGTGCACCCTGCATACGATGCAGCATATTGTGAAATTGGCATAGAAGACTCCGAGCACAAATTATCTGGTCTCCGCATCATAATTCCTACCCCATTAGCTAAGGAAATTGCTAAATAGTAATAGCTACCATTGTGCTATCAGAAGAATAAAATAGATACCACCTATCACCTCCAGTCTGTGGAAGGAATCCCATGCCCCTTTTTACTTTGTCAGGAATCTGTTCTTAAAAGATTCCATAGGAAATCTTGTAGACAGGGAGAGCCAGTAATGCTTTCTACCGTTAATGACATCTCTGTGTTTGCAAAAGGTATCACTCACATTCCGTTTGTTTTCTTAATGAAGGACTTGCCAGCATGCTGAATGTATTTTGTATATGAGATATTGTATATTTAATTTGTAATTAAACTGGCATCTCGTGACATCTCATGTGTTGGAATATTTGACCAAAATGTTTTTTATTTAAAAAAAAACAAAACTTTGAAAGCCAAAATATGACATCACTGGAAACTCCCAATTCACCAGCATTAAATAAAGCTGGAGTAAAAAGGGACAATGCCAATGTGGCTTAGTGCACACATTTAGATGTTTTTGTGGGCGGGGGGGTGGGGAAAGAAGAAAGAATTAGGGGTTACAAAATCGGAAATTTAAAATGCAAAAGAAAGAAAACAGATTACTAAATTAACTATTTTCGCTGCAGCACTGGTAACCTCAAATCAGCTGCATTGGGATACTGCATAGGAACCAGAAAATGTGTCTCTGTCTCTCTTTCTAGCCAAGTCTTTCTAGTCTTAACCACTCCCATCACCGTCTTGCAAACAAGCCACAATCTTGCAAACAGGTACAGGCATAATTTTGTGTGCTTACTTAACTTTGTGCATGTAAGTAGTCCCATTGAAACTGGACAACCCATTTGTGTAAAGATAAGCACGTGCCTAAGAGTTTGCAGGATCACGGCCTGTAGAACCAATGAGGGCCAAAAGCATAATTGAGTAGGCTAGTTTCACTGTCAAAATGACACAGAGAAACTTACAATCAAGTAGTATAAATGGTGACAAATTGTAGCAGAGCTTTAAAATTCTTTTGGTTTTAGCGATCTAATGTATTATGGGAAGAAAATGTAAATACAGATCTATTTACCATTATATCACTAACATTATTATCTTGACACGGTTCCTTTAAACTATGGGGAGGTTTAATTCCATTATACTTTACCTCTTACCAATGTGGTCCATCTGTAATGAGCTGCAGCATCTCCAGAGGACCAGTAATGAGAAAAAAAATGAAGATCCATGTAACAGCTTGGAAATGAAATTCTGTATCTAATTGTTGACATATTCTCTTGTTCCTCTTAGGGCAAAGGTGAAGAAAGGTGTGAATATTTTCAGCGTAAGAGCCAGCAGCCCGTACTTATGGGACATTAGAGAGAGCGTGGATTATACTGGGAAATATGCACCAGCTGTCATTGTTTGTCAGAGGAAATCTGCTACCTCGGAAAACAGGTAGGTCATTTACAATAGTTTTACATTTTGTAAATGAGATAATTTTGCTTTTTCAAAACAGATGTATCTGCTTTGCTATGGTAATTAATAAAACTTTTATTATAGTTTCTAAATACACACAGTAAGTGTATAAATGGAAAAACTGATGCTGTCTTTAGTTTAAAATATTCTGCTTACTGTACTGTATATACTCTAAATCCATTTTGATTGCCTAAATGAAATGAAAACTACCAGGAAATGTTCATTTCACAGTGTTTAAAAGGACTTTCCTCATCTCTCTGAATTTAGTTCAGCCAGATTGTTTAGTCTTTTCAAATTATTTGCTTCTGAACTGGTCAGGCATTATATTAGTGGCTTGTTAATTACAGTCTTCAATTTGTATCCTTAGCTTTTGAGAAGGAACTAAGAAACACATACCAGGCTTCAACCCATGTTTTTGTCAGTGAATTTTTAATCCACATTCAGAGAAGGAATATTCAGATCTTAAGTTTACGTGATAAAATAACTTAGGTAGGACACTGACTCCAAAAACAATATTTGATAGCAGTTGTTCCAGTTTCTAATCACAGTTGAGTGTTTTTAAGAATAAACATTTGATACCTTTTTGTTTCACTTCATTCACTGTTCCTGGGTAAGCGTGGAGAGGGGAGATCATGTTGGTAAGGAGCTAACTGGCTAGAGATTTGTTATATTAATTATTGTTACTATTAAACTTGCATGATGAAGATGATGGTCAGATTCTGAAGTGATTTACCTGCTGTGAAATGCCATTAAAATGTATTGGGTTTGCACAGGGTGCAAGATTTGGCCCGTTTTAATGAAAACCCTCTTTACCTCTAGATAAACGGGAAGCTTCGTGGGTCTGGAATATAGGAAGGAGGGGAAGGGGGACTTCCTTTACTTTCCAGACATAAATCTGTTTCCCCCCACACACTAGAATTCAATTTCAAAATCCCCCCCACAGCCCCGCTGATATGGTATCCTCCACTTCCTCCCCTAAGCCATATATCATCTCATAGCTGGCTGAATTTTAGTGGCTGGGGAAGGAATCTATATATGCCCAAGGTCACAGCCTTTTCCTCAATAAAAGAATCAGAAAGTTTCTTAAAAGGCCTGATTCAACGTTCACTGAAGTCAATGAGAGTCTTTTCATTCATTTCGGTGGGCTTCGGATCAGGCCCAAAGCAATTATGATAGTGAATTATCTCCCACCATCTACCCTTCCATTTTTTGGGGCTGTGTTCTGCAGTGCAGCACAGCATTTCTGCAATGCAGTGCAGCGCAGCATGGGGGGAGGGATAGCTCAGTGGTTTGAGCATTGGCCTGCTAAACCCAGGGTTGTGAGTTCAATCCTTGAGGGGGCCATTTAGGGAGTTGGGGCAAAAATTGGGGACTGGTCCTGCTTTGAGCAGGGGGTTGGACTAGATGACCTCCTGAGGTCCCTTCCAACTCTGATATTCTATGATTCTATCATTTCCCTGCTTCTCTTTCAGTAATGGTAAAATGTAGTGTGTTATCAAGGATGGAACAACATTTGGCTACTTATTCCATTTCAGTGTTCTCCTAAGCCTAAGCATTCGGTGCCTGCCCTTAAAATGTGCCAATTTTCATTAGATCATTACATAAGGTTAACCAGTAATTGAAGTATCTTCCCTATCCTTCCACATGCTGACTATAGGAAATGACTTAGTAGTACTGCAAATATGGTAGTAATGTGATTTAGGCTCCAGTCCTGCAATAACCTCTGCATGAGCAGACCCCTGTATCCCAGCAGAGCACCATTATTATCAAGTCTGTGCCCATGTAGAGTTCAGTGCTGGTTTGGGGCCTTAGTTATCTAAGGCAGATGAGAACAAAGATTAATTAGGGGGAGCTAGTCAGGCTTTTAGATTGACTAGGTGGTATCCAGGCCAGGTCCTCAAAGGTTCTGGACCCAGGCTGCTTATTGTAAGAAATGTAACTCAGTATCTATTTTGAATTTAATTAAAACACTTAGCCCTGGTCTACACTAGGACTTTAGGTCGAATTTAGCAGCGTTAAATCGATTTAAACCTGCACCCGTCCACACAATGAAGCCCTTTATTTCGACTTAAAGGGCTCTTAAAATCGATTTCCTTACTCCACCCCTGACAAGTGGATTAGCGCTTAAATCGACGTTGCCGGCTCGAATTTGGGGTACTGTGGACACAATTCGATGGTATTGGCCTCCGGGAGCTATCCCAGAGTGCTCCATTCTGACCGCTCTGGACAGCGCTCTCAACTCAGATGCACTGGCCAGGTAGACAGGAAAAGAACCGCGAACTTTTGAATCTCATTTCCTGTTTGGCCAGCGTGGCAAGCTGCAGGTGACCATGCAGAGCTCATCAGCAGAGGTGACCATGATGGAGTCCCAGAATCGCAAAAGAGCTCCAGCATGGACTGAACGGGAGGTACGGGATCTGATCGCTGTTTGGGGAGAGGAATCCGTGCTATCAGAACTCCGTTCCAGTTTTCGAAATGCCAAAACCTTTCTGAAAATCTCCCAGGGCATGAAGGACAGAGGCCATAACAGGGACCCGAAGCAGTGCCGCGTGAAACTGAAGGAGCTGAGGCAAGCCTACCAGAAAACCAGAGAGGCGAACAGCCGCTCTGGGTCAGAGCCCCAAACATGCCGCTTCTATGATGAGCTGCATGCCATTTTAGGGGGTTCAGCCACCACTACCCCAGCCGTGTTGTTTGACTCCTTCAATGGAGATGGAGGCAATACAGAAGTAGGTTTTGGGGACGAAGAAGATGATGATGAGGAGGTTGTAGATAGCTCACAGCAAGCAAGCGGAGAAACCGGTTTTCCCGACAGCCAGGAACTGTTTCTCACCCTAGACCTGGAGCCAGTACCCCCGAACCCACCCAAGGCTGCCTCCTGGACTCAGCAGGCGGAGAAGGGACCTCTGGTGAGTGTACCTTTTAAAATGCTATACATGGTTTAAAAGCAAGCATGTGAAAGGATTACTTTGCCCTGGCATTTGCGGTTCTGCCTTTGCAAAAGGTTTCTGGGGAGGGCAGCCTTATTTCGTCCTTCATGGTAGGACACTTTACCACTCCAGGCCAGCAACACGTACTGGGGAATCACTGTAGAACAAAGCATTGCAGTGTATGTTTGCTGGCATTCAACCAAAATCACGCGGTGGGAGGAGGCAAAATGCGACCTTGTAACGAAAGCACATGTGCTATGTATGTAATGTTAACAGCAACACGTACTGGGGAATCACTGTAGAACAAAGCATTGCAGTGTATGTTTGCTGGCATTCAACCAAAATCACGCGGTGGGAGGAGGCAAAATGCGACCTTGTAACGAAATCACATGTGCTATGTATGTAATGTTAACAGCAAGGTTTACCCTGAAAGAGTGTAGCCACTGTTTTATAAAATGTGTCTTTTTAAATACCGCTGTCCCTTTTTTTTTCTCCACCAGCTGCATGTGTTTCAATGATCACAGGATCTTCTCCTTCCCAGAGGCTAGTGAAGCTTAGAAAGAAAAAAAAACGCACTCGCGATGAAATGTTCTCCGAGCTCATGCTGTCCTCCCACACTGACAGAGCACAGACGAATGCGTGGAGGCAAATAATGTCAGAGTGCAGGAAAGCACAAAATGACCGGGAGGAGAGGTGGAGGGCTGAAGAGAGTAAGTGGCGGGCTGAAGAGAGTAAGTGGCGGGCTGAAGACAGGGCTGAAGCTCAAAGGTGGCGGCAGCGTGATGAGAGGAGGCAGGATTCAATGCTGAGGCTGCTGCAGGACCAAACCAGTATGCTCCAGTGTATGGTTGAGCTGCAGCAAAGGCAGCTGGAGCACAGACTGCCACTGCAGCCCCTCTGTAACCAACCGCCCTCCTCCCCAAGTTCCATAGCCTCCACACCCAGACGCCCAAGAACGCGGTGGGGAGGCCTCCGGCCAACCAGCCACTCCCCCACAGAGGATTGCCCCCAAAAAAGAAGGCTGTCATTCAATAAATTTTAAAGTTGTAAACTTTTAAAGTGCTGTGCTTAAAGTGCTGTGTGGCATTTTCCTTCCCTCCTCCACCACCCCTCCTGGGATACCTTGGTAGTCATCCCCCTATTTGTGTGATGAATGAATAACGAATGCATGACTGTGAAGCAGCAATGACTTTATTGGCTCTGCAAGCAATGATTAAAGGGAGGAGGGGAGGGTGGTTAGCTTACAGGGAAGTAGAGTGAACCAAGGGGTGGGGGGTTCATCAAGGAGAAACAAACAGAACTTTCACACCGTAGCCTGGCCAGTCATGAAACTGTTTTTCAAAGCTTCTCTGATGCGTACCGCGCCCTCCTGTGCTCTTCTAACCGCCCTGGTGTCTGGCTGCGCGTAACCAGCAGCCAGGCGATTTGCCTCAACCTCCCACCCCGCCATAAACGTCTCCCCCTTACTCTCACAGATATTGTGGAGCACACAGCAAGCAGTAATAACAGTGGGAATATTGGTTTCGCTGAGGTCTAAGCGAGTCAATAAACTGCGCCAGCGCGCCTTTAAACGTCCAAATGCACATTCTACCACCATTCTGCACTTGCTCAGCCTGTAGTTGAACAGCTCCTGACCACTGTCCAGGCTGCCTGTGTACGGCTTCATGAGCCATGGCATTAAGGGGTAGGCTGGGTCCCCAAGGATACATATAGGCATTTCAACATCCCCAACAGTTATTTTCTGGTCTGGGAATAAAGTCCCTTCCTGCAGCTTTTGAAACAGACCAGAGTTCCTGAAGATGCGAGCATCATGCACCTTTCCCGGCCATCCCACGTTGATGTTGGTGAAACATCCCTTGTGATCCACCAGAGCTTGCAGCACTATCGAAAAGTACCCCTTGCGGTTTATGTACTCGGCGGCTTGGTGCTCCGGTGCCAAGATAGGGATATGGGTTCCGTCTATAGCCCCACCACAGTTAGGGAATCCCATTGCAGCAAAGCCATCCACTATGACCTGCACATTTCCCAGGGTCACTACCCTTGATATCA